TATTCAATGAAATACATGTTGAAAATGAATTTCAATGAAATATATGAAAATACAGTGATATCTTCATCGCAGTGAAATGACTAGTTCTTCCAAGAGAAATATTTTTCTGTTCCTTGAATCTGTAAGCACAGTTTAAGCATGTTTCTCTACATACAAGCTGGATTTAATTTGTTTAGCATCTGTATATGTTCTATGATTTAAATAATGTAGAGTCATGGAACAGAAGCAAAAAGTTAATTGTGTATTTTTACCTCATCTCTCTTAAATTCATACTGTGCTCTCATTATTTCATTTTTCACCTATATCTTGATTGATAAGGGTGCTTTCACTTACCACCTACCCCTTCCTTGTTCTTTCTTTACCCTTTACACATTGTCTCCATGTAGCCACTCGTTGATCACTGGATTTACATGGAAAAAAAGTCATAGCAGACACTGTGTGTGTCTTGCCTTTCCTCCTGTCCTGACCTGGAGGTTACTGCAGTTTCTTTGGACAGATTGCATATTTATTATTCGATCTGGCAACTTTCATTGAATGCAGGAATGTGTTCAGCCAGAGCATGAGATGGGAAAGTTAAGGCCCAATTAATGAGGAGCAGGAGTTGACGGATAAACACCTGAGTCAGGCTCCTTGTTCTTTAGATAGAGAGCTTTGAGGTGCCCTCAACTTGGTCTCTCAGAGGGTTCCTAGCAGCAGGGAGCCAAGTTTCCCACAGTGATAACCTGCTCATTAGTGCCCCTTTACTGGCGTTTCTTCTATCCTTCGTTTGCCCTTTTCTGCTTCTTCAGTGTTTCCTCTGATCTCAGCCCAAATGAACTGCTGTGCCAGGACCTGCTTTTAAGGGGATTCAAACTAAGCAGATATTTCCTACCTGAGCATTTTAAAATTGGAGTTTTTTCTGTTTTTTTTTTTTTAATTATTATTTATTTATTTGTGTGTGTGTACGTGTGTTTCTTCTTCCTCACAATGTTCTCTGTGAATTAGGTTACTCTATAATACTTAGATTATTTCCATTCAAAAAAAGAAAGTCTTGAGCTTAAGTTAGAATATCTCTAATTCAAGACAACTGGAAGGTTTATACAGTTGTTAACTGCTTTCTAATTTGCTCGGAGTCTGGATGGAAAGCTGGGTTCCTTTTTCATAATTAAGTGCTCCAGATCTACAGAGAGTCAAAGTCTGTAAGAATGTGAAGATGATTAACACTGTATCCTGCTTTCAGATTTTAAAAAAGATGCTTATCTTCATGTTTACCTATTATGTTAGGTAGCGACAAAAACAAAGCACCTAAGAAGTCAATGACTTCTGCTAAAATAGTATTTTCTTTCTATATAATGTATTCTTAGTTAACCCCCAAATTAAATATTTGCATCACACACCCAGAATACGTCATGAGGAACTGAATCACTACAATTTTTAGTGGGCATGAACCCCAGTATACAAACTTGGGTTTGAAAAATATGTATCTGTCTCTACTATTTCATAATCCAATATTATTTTTTCTTTCAACTCCCTATTCTGCCATAACCTCAGAAAACTTTATCAATTTGGAATTCCCACTTAATTTAAATTCTAGGAGATGCTGTTGTACCAAGGCCTGGAGCATGAGATCTGAATCCTTTGACAGGCATATATTTCCTGAGACTTCTCTCATCCCTATTGTTTTGGCACTTTTTAGTGCTAGCTGGTCTCTCTGCTCCCTCCATTCCACCACTGTGGACTGGGAGCTGTTTCCCTGGAACATGGGAGTCTTTTCCATGAGATGACTATGTCCTTGTCTACATAGGCAGCCACACTCAGTGAGCTCAAATAGGAAGGGACAAATTGATCTCCTATAATCTTGAATATCCAAATGTTTGGGATTTGGTGTGGGTCAAGAGGCCAGTTATTCCTCTCTTGGACCCACTGAAATGTCTGTTGCTCAGTCCAAGAAAACTTTGTTTGCCAGGAGAAGAGGTGCTTATGGGGACATAGGAAGAATTCCTTTTTCTCAAAGGTATTTTCTAAAATATACTTTCTATGTTGCAGTTATTGAAATTCTATTAAGATTTTATGATTTTGGAAAATAGAAACCACAGACTTTTTGCTCCCCTTTCCCTTCCTTTCTTTCACCTTCTTTCTCTCTTCTCTTATTTTCTTGTCATTAAACTTCGCCATGCCTCTCCAGGACCAATTATTTCTTTCTATCTATCTATCTATCTATCTATCTATCTATCTATCTATCTATCTATCTATCACTTTGTGCATCCTTTGTACTAGCTATTATTGAAAGGGCTTTAGATTATGCATGTTAAATTATCTAAATGCTGCAAGATAGTTACAATTATTTTCCCCATTTCAACAATGGAAAATTGAGACCCTCAACTGAGACAAAGAACTTACTCAAGTTCACATAGGTATTAAATGGCAGAGTCAAGACTTGAACCAGGTACCTTGCTCTGGAATTTGTACTCTTACCACTTAGCTATCACATTATATAATACTTCACAGAATGCAATCATGACACTTTTCATCTGGCTGAAGAGTCATAGTGGTAGCCTGGCTAACATACAAGGTAATATGAAGAAAAAATTGACAGGGGTAGCTATGGAAACCTATAAAAAGAGAATGACTAACCTAGAATGTTTTATGTTACTCTTTGTATACCCCCAAATTAGCAAATGATTCATCCAATATGAGATATTTTCCTTAAAATATTTTAATAGACAAAAATATGTTTATGTTTTTCCTATATCAGTTTTTACTCAAGGACATGATTTACACTGAAGCTTGATAAATCCTAATGTCTCTGGTTCTTAAGCAAAGCCTTACAGTTTTAAAAAGCTGATATTTATGAAAGAAAAAGTAAAATACTAGAACAAAATGACAATGATTTCAACTTTTTTTTTTCTTTTTTTGAAGTTTAAAGCTAGCAAATTTTGGTATTAAAATATACATAAATGTTTTAAAAGTCTTGAAATTGTTATCTGTTTTGTGGTCTACCTGGGCTATTTTTAGTTTCAGGTATAATCAGATAAAATAAGTGCCACCATCAATAAAAGTAACTTGAGCAATACTGTGTTTTCAAGTCAAATTTGGAAGAAAACATTTTTAATAATGTTGTGAAGGTAGTTCTAAAATGTATTATAGTTAGAACAGTGATCTTGTTATATATGCATTATTTTTGAACTTTGAAATTATCTTAAGCTTTTGTTCATTAAATAATATCTAATAGAAAACAACTCATCAGATACAAATCAATTTCAGGGGCAAATATTCCTTGACTTAATGTCACCATTGTGTGTGTCCATAGTCCGAATATAAGCTGTTTATGACCTTTAGGCCTTGGGTCTTTTAATTAGACTAAAATGTGATGTAAAAGAAATAAATTTTTGTTAATATGATATAAATGTTGAGATCTCTATAGTTATATTTTAATCAAATAATTTTCTATGATTATGCTATTTACTTTAAGTCAGGCTATAGAGATTTTCTTTACCTCTTCATTACAATACGTTAATAATTAAGTATAATGTCTATTTTCAGAATATTTAATTAGTAATGTCCTCCATCAATTTAAAATTAAATAACTCTTTGAGATTTTTTTCACCAAAATATGGCAACTTTTGCATACTTTTCCATGATGTGCATTTCCCAACAGATTTTCAATCATAAATATTTATAATTTCATATTAACTCTTCAGAAGGGCTAATAGTATGACATTTTAAAAATTCCCATATTATTTAAAGTGATGTTGGAAGAGTCAACATGAAACATTGATGTTTAAAAAGGTCATACAGGCACTTCATGCCTTTCCCATAGAACTATAATGTGGAATTATTTTCTTGCCTCTTCTGGCTTTTTTTTTTTTTTTTTTCAAATAAGGCAGACAATTTTGAACTTCACAGGTAGTCTAACTTTTATTCTGAGTAAAACACTCAACTCTAAGCTGAAGTTAATATATTTTAAAAAATCACACAGTACAATTGAATAGTTTAAATATTTCTAATATAGATTGATTTCATACAATACAGCTCTAACATTGACAAAATATTTCTGAATGTGTGACTTGAAATGTCCTTATAATGTATTTCCCCTGTTTCTATTTAGGGATGCATTATTTAGGCTAGCACGGCGGTGGAAGCAGAAAAGAAAGTGCTATATGTGAATAAAGTTTTTGTACAGTTTCTATTTGGAGTGTTTGATGAAAAGGCTGCACACAGCTTTTTCTATTGAATGAATGTTTATCTTTGTATTTTTTAACCTAAAAGATTACAAAAGACTTGTTTTTAGTAAGGGATTATCATAACCCAAACAGTAGTGGCAAGCATGGTTTAGTGGCTGTTTGAGCTCTCAAATGTTTGTTTATAAGTTTTAAAGCAGTGTTTATAGGAGCTCACTGCCTTGACCTTTGTAAGTGAAGAGGTTAGAGATGAAGTATGGACACTGCATTAGAATTAGATGATTTTATGTTTTCTTTTGAGAACAAAAATCAGGCTCACTGAATGGTAAAAGCCTGGGTGATCCATGACTTTATCTGTCACTTGGTTGTATTCAGATTGCAAAAAATTATCATTTCATCTCAGAATGATCCAAAAAATAAAAGATTAACCATCTTCACCATGAAAATACAAGGACTGAATATCTGCAGTATCTGTACTGGGAATGATAAAAACAGAAGACGATTGTCAGCATTAAAAAAGAAAGGGATATTTTGTTTTAAAACCTTAATCAAGCTTATTATTCCAATTTCAGAACAATAATCCAGGAAATATAAATTTTATTTCCACTTTCTATGTGTAAGATTCTTAATACAGTTCTACATGTTTATACCACTTAATTAAAATAAGAAACCATTAAATCTTGTTTAAATTTGAGTAAGAGAGTATAATACAGTATGATTTTGGCAACAGAGGACTGTATTTCATTTTAATTTCTTGAATGAACCAATATAATGCATGCTGTTGAATTCTAGTTGTAGCATATCTAAATAGGTGCATGTTCTTTTGTTTATGTCTTTTAGCATCACCGTCAATTAAACTCTTGGTGGATGATCCTATAGTTGTAAATCCTGGAGAGGCCATAACATTAGTATGTGTTACAACAGGAGGAGAGCCTGCACCTTCTCTCACCTGGGTCAGGTCCTTTGGGACTCTGCCTGAAAAGACTGTTTTGAATGGAGGAACTTTGACCATACCTGCTATCACCTCAGATGATGCTGGTACTTACAGCTGCATTGCCAATAATAATGTGGGAAACCCTGCAAAAAAGTCCACCAACATCATTGTGAGAGGTAAGTTTGCTGAGAGGATGTTACAACATAGATTCCTAGGTTAGGCTCTCAAAAAGCGAATAATGCTTGATACAAAATTACCTCTTCAAATATTGCATATATCTTTACGGAGAAAATCATGTATAAATCATAATGGTGGGTAATTATAAGTGGAACTTAAACAGGTTAAAGATTAATAACAGTACTTTATATTTGCATTGAATAGCTTTCATAACACATTCTTAGTGATACCATCAAATGCTTTTTATATGTTGTTAAAAAAATTGAAACAAAAAATGTGGCATACAGCTTAAAACATTCACTGTGTAAAATATATGGATTGTAACATAGTTTAGGAATTCAGTAAATTTATCAATTTAATAAACTTTCATTCAGCCCCTATTACAATCATGGTTTTAAATTGTGAGGTTATATAGAGATCTATCAAACATTATTACCCTGTACTCAGGATTTCACTGTCAGATAGTGAAAATAATATTTATCAATAGTCATATGATAAGGTGTTTGGAAAGAACAAACAAAAGATATAGAAATTAAAGAGAAATGTATAGCCACTTCAGGCTGAGGTTATTAGGGAATATCTAATGACATTTGTACTAGATCTTATAAGTTGAGTACTGTTTTGACAGATTGAAATTGAGAAAAGACAGAAAATTCAGAGATAGAACATGCAATGCTTATTTGAGGAACTGAAGCAAAATGTAAGTCAGTAAGTCAAAGTAGCAATGCTGTTCTAATGTGGCCATTACCAGCTAGTATGCTGGCACCACGCAGGCATGTTTTCCCTCCATTTTGGAAGATGGAAAGAAGTTCTGAGGCAGATGTACAAAGAGACCATATGCTTCTTCATGTCTCACTTCACCTGGTATGGTCCTGGGTTGGAAGTGGAGGGTGGACACTGATGCCTCTGAAGTTAAAATAGACATCCATATGCTGAAGATGACCTTTTGAACATGCAAATGAAAATTACTTATGATGGAAGCAAAACATAATCAAGTGTATAGAGATAAACATGTGAATATAGATTGTGGTGGTTTTAGTTATCTGTTATGCAAATTATTAGAAATATGCAATTTGACAAAAGTATACTCTATTCAAAACATTTCAAGTTACAGTGTAAATCAAAACACTGTGAATAGCATACCATCTGCCACAAAATTGTATACCATACAATATTTAGTAATTATAACATGTACAATTATTTTACATATCAATACAAAATAAAACATACTGCCAGTTAAACTACCATAATGTGTTATGAGATAGAAGATTATTGAAAAAGCTCTTCTAAATTTGTTTATACTTAGATTTTCTTTTAAAACAATGCTTTTAAAATATTTCTTTTAAAACTTTTATTAGCCTACATAAAAAGGCCAATAAAAGCAAACTAAATTGATTAAATTATTCATAACACTTCACACTCAGAACTCGACTTCTAAATTAGTTTTTATTACAAGGTCGTTGATGATGATGCTTTGCTATACGATATTGTTCTTGTGTCATTAAGAGCTTTAATAATTCCAAATTATAGAGAAATACTGTCTCTGAGATTTTCTTTTAAGTCAGGTCATGATTACTAATAGCAACCATGACAGACTATTGAATGTAAGAGGCATTCTGATCTCAGAATTGTTAAAATATAAAAATAAAGATGGATTTTAGAATCAATGAAATGTGCTCTTTGTTTCAATTGTTTAACGAACTTCTACTGCACAACTACCATATGATAAGGATGCAGCAAATGTAAGGAATGCATGAGTGTGACTGCAAAGATCAGTGACTAAACGTCTGCCCTCAAAGGAGTTTACAGTCCGTTATGGAATATAGAAATACAAAGGAATTGTATATGGAAATATATAGAAAACAAATAATTCACAATGGAAGTATCCAACTTTTATTTTTAAAAATATTAGTATTGAGAAATGGGGCACATTTTAAGCCTTGTGTCAGTGAGCAACCAGATTCTGTTCTCTCTCTACCCCATTTTTTTAAAAAGAAATAGAAAAATTGTATTGTCCTCGGTGTTTGTTTTATTTCTATTTTTTGTTTGTTTGCTTTAAAATACTTGTTTTTCTAAGTAGGCATAAAATAATCTACCAAATCTTACTGTAATTATGAAAGTATTGAAGTATGATGATTAAAGCATTGAAGTATTGAAGTATAATGACGAAAGTGTAATATCAAAGTACCGCAACATCTGTCCTTAAGTGCCGCCGATACAATGCAGAATCTTTTATTCCATTATTTTATCAAGAACAGTAACTTGTTAGAGAAAAATGATGAATTGAATTTAATTTTCATAATGGAATCATTTGCAACTATATGGAACCCACATACAACTGGCAAAATGTCCAGTATAAAATATCTATGTGGCTTATACACCCTTTATAAGGGACTAACCCAGTGAACAGCAAATATGTGCCTAGAGAATGATTTTCTCTTCTCTACCCCACCTAACAGGTTTCACCTGTATTCTTACAAAAGAAAGTTTCCAACTTTGACATGAAAGACCTGAAATCAACAAAGCCTTAAAAATGTATTTCTTCAATCTTATGATTTCTTTTTATGCCTTTAATTTGTCTGATGTGTACATTTGCATAATCGTATTATATTGCTAGTGGGACTTCTCAGCAGTGGCATTCACGTAATTCATAAAATCAAGTTTGTATATAATCTTAGTGAATATAGAAGTAGCCTTGGTTTTAAAGGATCCTAGATTAAACTGTGGGGAGAAAAACCACTGCAATAATATGAGGCATCTGATTTCTGGTCCACAGAAGTCAAGAAATTCAGTTAAGGAAAACAGTTTTCTTTTTATTACACAAAGAAATTATTTTCAAGTCTTCTGAATGTATAGACCTCTGTGAGTCTTAGATTAACTGTGTCATGGATACAGTAGATATAGAAACCTAGGTTTATCTCCTCTCATTCTTCTCTGTAATTAAATCAGGATCCATGGACCAGGTTTCTGAGTAAGCACAAAGATATTTTGTGCATGGAATTCCCATCCTCATTTAAGAAGGTCCATGCACAGAATAAGAGTGTAGAGTGCTGATAGAAATAAAATTCAAGAAACATTTCTGAATTCTTTATTCTACTTTTATAAAAATGGAGAACAGTGTAAAGTAAATAATGGAGATAACAGTCCATGTAGATAAGAAGTAGAAAACTGAATACAAATCTCATATGGTTTACTACTTTGGGAGAACATTTATTAACGTAGCACCAATGCCTTTTCTTATCATTTTTTTTTTTTTAATTGCAGTGACTGAGCTACATTTCTCCTAAGTTAGGAGAGAAGCAGTTGCCTAATACACCTGAAAGGAATGTTGCATTGATTTCCTATCCACATGTTCCATGCCCTGAGCTCAATGCTTTTCAAACTTCTGTTAGATATGACACTTCCATGTAAAGGTCTCTGTTTTCATGCTTCATTCTACTTAGAAATGCCTACATTTCTCTTGTGTCGTGAATTAAACCACTGTGTTGAACATGTATGGTTCAAAATATCAAGACATTACTGTATTTTAGTGTACAGTGGCCTCTTTGAATGTTCTGTAGTATATTCAAATCACAAACACATTTAGTTCAGTGTTTTGGTTTCATGGTCCAAAATAGTAATAACTCTAAACCTGATTTAATGCAAAATTCTCTCCCCTCCCCAACTTGGGTCCACTTTGGGCTGGAGACCTGAAGTAAGAAAAGGAGATGGAGCACAGTTGGCTTTTTTGTCTATTATCTCTCCACCTACCTCTCCACTTAGCCCAACCCCAGCCTGATAGCTAGGTTCTGACCACCCTAGCTCAGAGTGAGCTATGAAGATCTGTATACAAAGCTTTCCCAATTCCTTGGTGACATGTTAATGGACCCTTAGAAAGTTTCTCTACCCAGACAATATATGCATCTATGTAGATCAAAGCGAGGTATCCAGTGATTGGGCATTTCCCTGAGTCCATGGATATGCCACATTTCCTGAGCATCTTGTGCTGTACCCCTACCCCCTCTCTGCTGATGGCTTCCTTTTTCCTCTAAGCAGCCAACTAAACAGAGCCCAAGACATGGTCATGTCCCTTCCCTGTGAGACTCACATCTGTCTGGTGGAAATGCTTACCAATAGACTATGAGAGCACATAAATTTCAGTTTACTGCCTCTGTTCTCTTGCCACACCGGTTTTAGTTTCTTCAGATATGAGTCAGGCAACATTGGAGGGAAAATATTTCAAAGCTGACAGGTCCCATGGAAAGCTCCTCAGTAGGACTGAAATGAAACAGACAGGGTCTCCTTTCTCCACCTTGGGTTTGGAAGAAGTTGCATCTCACAGTTTTCTCTAAAGATATCCTTCTAATTAAATTTGGTTTCTTACTCTTCTTTTACCTTTAATTGTCTGTAAAGTCTAAGAATCATGGCTTGAGATTTCTTCCACTTTCTCCAAAAATTCTACGTAAGAGGGAGGTCTGTTTTGCACTTACTATGGAATTCTTTGTGTTCTATTTTCAGGTAAAAGTGAGCTGGTAAAAGTCTATTCTATCATCTAGCTTTACAAAAATGTAGGAAAGGATTAGAGGAATTTTCAGATTTTCTAACTGGCATTCTTGAAGGCGATTTATCAGCAAGTCCTTCTGGTTCTGTCTTCAAAATATACTTTTAATCTGATCCTACCTTTCCATGTTCACTGCTACCACACATGTCCAAATCATCGATGTATCTCTCCTGGTTGATTCAAATAGCTTTCTATTGTTATTCTTTCCACTGTACCCCTTTTTTAGAAATTCACCTGCTATATTAGATAAAGTAGCCTGCACTAAGTTAATAAATATACCCATACACGTAATTTCTCAAAAGAAAAGAACTTCAGATTTTGTTCATGAAAGCGTACAGAGTGTTTACTAGTTCATATTGCTGCTGAGTGTACTTGGGGTTGCTCCATGTGGTCATTCAGGTATCAAGGCTCATCATGTCTCTGCCATCTTCAGTCAGTGGCTGCTAAGGTTACTATGGG